ATGAGACACTGAATGAGATCTGCTGATCAGTGTATATAAATGGTGGTGTATAAACACCCACATCCCACAACCCTGGCCTCTCCTATTATCAAGTTAAGAACAGTTAAACGTATTGATTTTATTTTACTTTGAAAATTAACCGGATATTTTATTCTGTAACCGCATACAACTGCCACTGCCGCTCGTGCTACACTGCACTGAATTGATGCCGGACAGATTCTGTGGAATGACTCACATTGATTATAATGCTCACGGATTTGATCCGCCGGCCGTGCTGGAGCGGAGCGGAGCGACGACCATTTCATCTCCGTGTGGATGTCTATCTGCATCTCTGGAAACGATCATGTGACACACAGCGTAACTCTTTTATGGCGCCTCTGCATGTCTGACCAAAACAACCTTTATACACATGCTCTGTACTCTTCTTCTGTCTTTTGTGCATTTCCTTGGCGAGGTTACAGTGCCACTTACTGGCTTGGCATATAAACTACATCATTTTCAGTGGTTTCGTTTGGAGAAATGATAGAAAAGTGAAGTTGTCACTGAATAAAAAATCAAAAATCAAGTTTTAAGAGAAAAAAATTGAGATTTTATTTTTTGCCAAAATCGTGCAGCCCTAACATGCACCTGAATTCTGCTATCCTTCAAAAAACCATCACATTTCTGATGAGAAGAAATACGTTAGTTGTTGAGGAAACAGGAAACAACATCCCTCTCCAGACTCTTGGTTTGAAAGACTCCATATTACAGTGAGGACTACAGTAATCAGACCGGCTGAACTGAAAAATGTATCAGCCTGATTACTCAGAGTCAAGCAGAAACCAGGTGCTGCCAAACAGATAAGGCCCATTTGGCGTGACCCTTTCTGAGCCCGTGGTGATCTGGAAAAAGAAAACAGACTTCTCAGAAAACGCAGGAGGCAGAGGTGAAGCGCAGCAGTCACACCGATAGAAGAAAGGATACAGACACGCAGAGGGAGAGACAGATAAGGACAACATGGAAAAAAAAGAAGAAGAGCCAAATATGAAGAGGAAGGCTGAATTTCCTAAAGCTCCACATTCAAATCATATGGAAGGATGCACAAACAGCCATGGGAGAGAGGAGTTTTAAGTAGTCCTAATGGTCCCGCTTCAGAAAATCGGATTCAAGGTGAAAAAAAACTGAGAAAACAAAACAAGAGCGAGACAGACACGCAACTTGGATGTCCTGTGCTTGTGGGATATAAACAAGCAGAAGGATGCGGTGGTGGCTTCCAGGAAGTAAGAGTTTGGTTTCCAGCAGGATAAACATACTTGGTTTACAGATTCATTGAGAATAACCCACCAGAGGAGTAATGGTAACAGGTACAAGGCCTGAAGTAATCAACGGATAAGCAGATTTAAGAGATTTAAAGGCCTCAGCTGAGTCAGACTGCCTGATGTCAGCAGGGATTACTGCAGAGGAAAAAAAAAAAAAAAACACTTCTAAGTCTAAGTCACTGGGACATTTTTAACAAGGCCGGTCTCAGCAGTGAAAGGAAGCAAGACGACATGTGATGGCTCTTCAGCTGCAGTCAAAGTTGACCGACCAATGTGGCAAAGTGGTCAAAACATCAGCAGCGAAGGTACAAGGAGAGGATATTGTTGCTTCAGATTTAATAAAAACAGAGATCTGACACCAAAACTGTGACCGCAGAGATAGCAGGAGTGCAAACTATCATCTTCTTTTACAGGAACCAGTCAAGGGTGCTGCCACTTCACTGAATAGGATTTAGTATCAAGAGGTGCCAAAGAAGCTTTACTTGGAGGATCAACGGCCTTATTCAGATGAATACCGAAAAAAACAAGAATTAAAATCACTCAGATAAACCCTCTTCAAAATTCTTCTTCACACCTTATGGAGATAAAAAAAAAGCCTTGAATTAAACTAATTCAATATCATGTTTGGAGGTTACATTCAAAATACACTTCCTTGATTAAAGCACATTAGCAGAAGAGTGAAGTGCGAAAGCTTCATCTGATTCTGAACAAACCTTTTTTTAAAGCCAAGTTTCTTAGTTGAATGTTTTATAGACTTTCTCAGGTAGTGTGAATTTGGATCTGAGTTTTAAAAAGAAAAAGAAGTTTTAAATGTAATACAGTAAAAGGAGAAGGCAGTCCTGATATCTGTGACCAGGCTGTTGGTCTCGTAATCTGGGTTCTGGACATTTTTAGATTAGATTAGATATGGATGTAACAATTACCAGTAAATTGATAAACCGTGGTAAAATGTCTGATGGTTAGTAAGACACTGTGATCCCCAGGCCTGGTTGTAGAGTCTGATAGTTTTTACAAAACTTGTAGACTCTATTAGACACTAACTCTACACCTACTACTTTCTTTTATGATCTGCAACCTGCTGGGCTCTAAATCCTTAATGTCAAACTTTTTCGAAACAGTCTCTGGTATGTCTGGATAAAATAGCAGCGCCTATTTCAATATAGGGAGAACCAATCTTTTCTACCCGAGGAAGCCCATGAAAGGCACCAACGAAACCAAAAAATAACGAGCCAGCGAGGGACTTGGTGAAGTAAGTCGGCTGTATGTCTTATCATTACCCCTCCTGGGTAAGGAGCCGAGAAAACATCCTCACCAGGCTTTCTTTTGTGATCTTTCACAGCTTCATATTTAATTGGCGTGGACATAGATTGTGGTATCGCTATAGTTAGCGCCGTAAGATTTGCCTCTATGTTGAAACCTTCGGCCTTTCATACACAAAACAGTCGCCGGACATGTCAGTCCTTCTCTGTCACTTTTTTCTCGCTTATCTTATTTGAACCCAAGAGGAAATGAGTGCCAAGCAAGTATTCAGTCAATCAATCACTGAACCCATCTTAACATCGGGTCTTTGTAAATTGGGTAAAGATTGAGCCCCATCTTCTTCGATCAGACCAGCTATCCACTTGAGGACTTTGAGAAGATTTGGAAAAGACTCCTGGAAAACTATCAGCTCACACCTGCTCACATCTGGAGACAAGTGTTTAGAGTTTTTAGTCTCAGACTGAGATTTTACAAAGACTGTGAATCTTGCAGGGTCGCTATTTACAAGACTACAACTAGATTCTTTTAGTATTTTTGACAGTTCGGTGTTTCCCATTGGTGGGGAATCCATCTGTGGTGATGTATAATTTTGATTTTGCATATACTGATACATACAGAGTCCGAGGTAGCACGTAAAAAAACTTTATTGTTGATGTGTGGCAGCTTTTTTTAGCCGTAGTGGTGCGCTATTACATGTTGGGGAAACCCTGCAGTTGATGTCTAGTCAAGGCTGATGAAGGCTTGATGAAATGACAAGGCTGATCTGCCCACAGCTCCACTATCCGCTTCTTTTTTATTGGCAATTATTCTTTATTCGTTCTTGTTCTTCTTGTTTTGACTGTCAGGTTTTTTTTCCGCTTTTGTCAGAGCTCATCTATTGGTTGTTGGTTGTGTTACGTCACTGCGATTTCAGCGCAGATTACCACCTTAAACATAACGATCAAGATGACGGGAGCGCGCCGTGACTCCGCTGTGACTCCAGTAAAACTCCAAGATTTACTTAAGACTTTCAGTTTTTAGTCTAGGACTGTGAAAATTGTTTGGTGGATGCCCAGCACAAGTTAACCTTAGCTTTGTAAAAGTGTTAAAACTGGTAGGATTGATTGAAGCAGCTGGAAAGCAGGCAGGTCCATGGCAGCAACCCTGAGGAACCTATGACATGATGGAGACTACGATTAGTAACTTTAACAGGACATGATGGTTCAAAGCTTTAATGTCTAGTAGATCAGAAGTGCCACAGAAATACAAAAGAGAAACTTCTAGGTCAACATTAATACAATTAGTTAGAAGTAGGGCTGCACAATTTTGGTCAAACATAAAATCCCGCTATTTTTTTCTGAAAACTCGATTTTCAATTTCGTTTTTTTTTAAGCTTCTTCACCAGCTTCAGCAACTTAACAAAACTTCACTTATCATCTCTCAAAACGAAACCACTGAAAAGATAATGTAGTTGACATGCCAAGACAGTAAGTGGCACTGTAACGCTGCACAGGAAATGCACAAAAGACAGAAGAAGAGTACAGAGCGTGTGTATAAAGGTTGTTTTGGTTGGACACGAGCAGGCGCCATAGAAGAGTTACTCTGTGTGTCACAGGATCTGCTCCAATGATGCAGATAGACATCCACATGGAGATGAAATGGTCGGTGTTAACGGATTTATGCACTCTCTGACCCATTGTCAAAAAGTACTGTAGACAGTCAGCCGAAACGCGGATATGACAAGAAAAGTTTCCATGTGGACGGGTTGATACCGCCTTCAGACAGACTTTACAGCGGGGAGTGGTTTGCTCTTCAAAACTGTAAAGTCATACCAATTCCACACAACTGACTTGCTCTTGTCCTGTTCAGCCACGAAATTATCGCCTTCTTTTGCAAACGCCATGTTTGTTTACACTGATGTGTGTGGAAAGGGGGAGCCCACGGTGGCCTGGAGGTGTGAGACATGATGGAGTGGAAAATCGATTTGATGATTTAAATTTGTTTAACATCGACATAATAATCCAATTATGATTTAAAACCCTAGATGGAAGTTAAACAAAAACTTACTGAAATATCATAAAAATGCTTAAATGAGAGACACTGTATTCAGAAATCACTAAAAATTAAATCAGTGATACGATACACCACTAAGTGTGAACTTGATTTTTGGTGAGCTGTCTCTATCTCTTAGGCGTTATTGATTAAAAAAACGGTGAAAAATACTGACAACTTTGAACCCAAACCTCTCTTAAACTGAACCACCCTGTTTAAATGAATTGGAGAAAATGGAGAAAGAAGTTTCTTGAAATCCACACAGTAAAACGCGGATGATGCACTATCGATTCGAGCCTCCAGTTGTTCTTCTTTGATCTCTCAAAACTGAGAGGGGTATGTCTGGCAGGTGTGTTGATTTTAACCTCAGGCCTGCAGCTCTCTCACTCTGACTTCGCTGAGAAAATGCTCAGGTACGACTATACATAGATCTGATAGAATCGTATAAAGAGTACAGCCAGACACAAGAGCTGCACTGAAGACCCAGATTTATTTTTTATCTAAACTTCTTATGAGCTTTGTTTTAATTCACCATGACATCAAGGTATTTAGTTCTGCCTGTTCAGAGGATTTCATTTATCACCGTGCGAGTCCATTTTAAGACATTTGTTAAGACAATAAAAGTACAATTCATTCAGGCTTATGCATACAGATGTGTCTGTGTCTGTGAAGGTGCATGCTGTGTAAATTGCTTACTCTTTATACTCACAATGAGCGCGTTGTTTTTTGTAATGTATTTTTATCCACCGTGAAAACTCGCCTGCAGGGATAAATAAACTTCATTGGATTGAGTTAAATTGAATTGAAATGGTTAGAGTGAACTTCCAATGAGTCAAAGCCTCCCTAATTTGACACACAGCACAGACAAGTCTGAATTAAATAAAAAGAGAAGTGATGGAGCTGGTGTGCTGTAAGGACACATTATTGCTCATTTCTGTATCTTAGCGAGCTTTTTAAGTTATAAATATGCAAATACATCTGTTTTTTCTACATTTTAAATAATTTTGTACGCTTGTTCTCAATAGCATCTGTGTTTCTTGTAGGAATGTAGTCCAACCACTCTCTGCATCACGTTTTTAATCTTGTGTTACATATTTTGTTCTCCCGAATGCTCTCAGTTAAGTTTTTTTGTGTGTATTCACCTTTAAAAGTCGCTCTTTTGTGGCTGTAACACCTTCGCTGCACTCGTCTAATGGTGCACCCATCTTTCTTGTGCCTTTTTCTTATAAAGAGAATGTGAACAACATGATGTCAATTTTTAAACATCACCTACAGACTTCTTTGTCAAGAACTATGACCACCCACAGGGAGCGCACTTGAGAGGATAAAGAAGTCACCATTACGTCTCTGCGGATGGCCTCCTATGACGACCGTAGAGATATTCTTTTTGGTGTATTGTACTTATATGAATATCTTATGCTGTCCATATTGACATGGGATCAGCTTTGATGCGGCTTTCATCCACTCTCTGCGGGGGGAGGAAATGAGTTATTCCGTGTGCTGACTCGGATCTGCTTTCATGCAGTCGTGCTTTTGAAAACGATAAGAAGGAGAAGAAGAAGAGCTGTCCGTGGTGCTGATCCGGGAACAGTCATGAAGCAGCTCTGTCCTGCAGTCTGCTGTTTGGATAGGAGGAGCTGTCCTCTGTGCTGGTTTAAGCTCTGCTTTGACTCAGACGATATCACCAATTGTAGATTGTTTCTGTTGTTCTGTGTGTGGATAAAACTGTCCTTTTGTGAAGTAGGTAGGTGGGTCTCTTCTACCAACCCACCGACCTACCAACCTGCCTGCCAACTCTACCTACCTACCAACCTTCCTACCTACCAACCTTACCTACCAACCAACCAACCTACCTACCTGTCAACCAACCAACTTACAAACAATCTACTTGCCAACCTACCTACTTATCTACTTGCCAACCCACCTGCCAACTAACCAACCTTCCTTCCTTCCTACCTACCTGCCAAATTACCAACCCACCTATCCACCTGCCAACTAACCGACCTACCTACTTACCTATCTACCTGCCAACTACCTAACCTACCTACTTACCTATTTATCTACCTGCCTACCTACCTACTTACCTACCTACTAGGCAACCTACCTACGTTCCTGCCAACAAACCAACCAACCTGCCTATCTACCTACCTGCCACTGTACCTGCCAACTAACTAACCTACCTACTTTCTGCCAACTAACAAACATACCTACCTACCTACATACCTACTTACCTACCTACCTACCTACCACACTTCCTACCTTCCTTCCTTCCTTCCTACTGACCTACCTAATGACCTACTAACCTCCCTGCCAACTAACCACCTACCCACCTACCTGCCTACCTCCTTACCTTCCTACCCACCTACCTGCCTACCTCCCTACTTTCCTACCTACCTACCTGTTATTTTACGAACTGCTCTGAGGTTGTCAAAGTTATTTTTTAAGCAGTCCTCTCTGGTCTGTGGTTTGCTACTATTTATTGGAAAAACGTTCAGGTTACTCTTGGTCCTCCAAAATAAGGAAATGTCCCCTCTTTGAATTTGGATCATCTATTAGTCAGCTCGATGTTAACATCCCGACAACGTGTGAAATAATCCAGGAGGTTTATGAGGAATTGGCGGGGAAAACTGCTGTCTGCAGAAAACAAGGAGTTGTCAGGTAGAAAATAATAAGTTTGGTGCTCATTTGAGATCTGCTTCGTTTCGACTGGCTGCTGAAGTCTTCAAATTTAAAGTGAGTAGCTGTCCGTGGTGCAGATTTGTGATCCGTTTTAAAGCAGCCCTTTCTTATGGACTGTTTTAAAGTTGTCAGCCTTCAAGCAGCCTAAAATTTCCCCACTGTCCACCATGTATATATAAAGACAATCTTTGAAGCAAGCTCTGAATCACATGCTTTGCAACTTTCCTCTGTAGTCTGCTGTTGAAAGTTATTGATGATCTTCAATAAGAATCAGTCCCGATCAAAACATCAGATCAAGTCTTGTAAGCAGTCGATGATTTGACTCATCTGGAGGAGGCTGTTTCTATCTTAGAGTGCCTTGTTAGGAAATAAGGAGTTGCCCGTCATGCTGATTTTTGTTTTGTTTCTTCCATCTTTTGATTGAAAAATGAAAGGTTTTCCCCTGTGGTGTGCGCTGATCTGGAGTCAACACAGCTTCAGCTCTCCACAGTCCTCCAAATGAGGACGAGGAGCTGTCCGTGGTGCTGATTCGAGATAAGCTCTTCGGGAGCTTTTTCTCTCTCTGTCTTTGAAAAGCGGTGACACATCCGTGGTGCTGAGTTGTTAAAAGTGTTGAGGTTACATACTGTTGGACTGCTTGAGAGTGAGGATTTGTTTGTCCTGCTGCGAGGCAACTCAGTCCTACAGTCTGCTAATTGGAAAAAAGGAGTTGTCCAATGTGCTGATCAGCTTTGCTACAGTACACTGTCTGAAAATGAGGAGCTGTTCATGGTGCTTTGTGATGCGCTTTGTCTCAGCTCTCCTACACCGTCGTCCAAGTGGGAGTGAGAAGTTGTTGATGGTGCTTATTTGAAATCAGTCCTGAAGCAGCTCTCTATCCGTGTTTTCCAACAGGAAATGAGGAGTTTTATTTGGTGCTGATTTGGGCAGAAGGCTGTAAACAGCAGCTCACAACATTTTTACCCTTACTAGGCCTTCTCCAACAACACACTCTGACAGCTAAAATGTCCGAGAAGCTGCTCTGCGCTGTATGTGTGAGTATGCCAGCTTGATTTATATTGTAGCAGTGTGAGCAAGTTGTGTTTAAAACCAGATTGGTTTCTGAAAATACGGAGAATTTTGGTCATTTTGGGTTTGCAGCCCTGTGGACTCTTGGTCTCTCACTTGAAAAAAGCAATATTAGAAATGTGTGCCTGTATGGAACAGTGAGGGGAGGCCACTGTAATACAAAATAGCAACATAGCAGATTGCCTCAGTAACCTTTGCCCATTATCTTCCTTTATAGTAGGATTCCCAAGGGAAATAGAGCTGAGTACCAGTGAAGTATGCCTGTAACACCATTATTACCATTTTTGGACCTTTTTTTCCCAGGGTCTCTCGCCCCTCTCCCCCTCCTCTCCTCCTCCCACTGCCCTGTATTGATCGGCTGCTGGTTGTGTCTAACTGTACTATATCCACAGATATTTATGTTTGGAGCTGCTGGTCTCCGGTTCCCATTATGGGCTTGAGCGATAGGCAGGGGCAGTGTTTCAACACCTCGCTGCTGAGGAAAAATGTAATATTCAAGAGACATGTCCTTAGTCAGCACTTCCACTCGGAAAGCTGGCGATGTAAAATGACCAGGGACAGCGAGTCTACTGGAAACATAAGCTGCAAGAAAAAAAGAAAAGAAAAGATGATTGGAAGAAAAGCTTAACCATATAAACCACAGTCCTGAATACAGTCCTGCTCTTTTTTTTGACAAATACAGTTTGAGTTCAACTTGATTCTCGGCCAAACAAACTGCTTTCAGCTTAAGCTTGGTGTCAGAATATATTGCTTTTGTTAGGCAGGAATCTGACATTTCTTTAAACCTGAAAATAGGATCCATGTGTTAGGGCTGCATGATTTGGGCCAAAAATAAAATCCGGATTTTTTTCTCTGAAAATACAATTTTTGATTTCCATCTCAATTGTTTTATTCACCAAACTTCACTTTAATGATAAAAAGTTTTTCTATCATTTCTCAAAAGGAAATCACTGAAAACAATGTAGAGCCTATGCCAAGCCAATAAGTGGCGCTGTAACCTCGCCAAGAATAAACAGAAAAGACAGAAGAAGAGTACAGAGCATGTTTATAAAGGCGCCATAAAAGAGTTACTCTGTGTGTCACATGATCGTTTCCAGAGATGCAGATAGACATCCACACGGAGATGAAACGGTCGTCGTTTGCAGATTTATTCACTCTCTGACCCATTTTTGGAAAGTACCGTTTACAGTCACCTGAAATGCCGATACGACAAAAACTTTTGTGTTTACTCCTGAATTTGCTCTTCATTAGAACCTTTGAAGTCGTACCAGTTCCATACGACTGACTTGCTCTTGCCCTTTTAACCACAAAATTATCGCCTTCTTTTGCAAACGCCATGTTTGTTTACACTGGTGTGTGTGGGAACTGGGGGGCACTACCGCTGGAAGGGTGAACCTATGATGGCCTGGAGGCGCAAGACATGATAGAGAGGAAAATGGATTCGACAATTTAAGATTTTTTAACATCTTCATAATCAAATAATCTGATTACGATTTAAAATCGATTAATCCTGCAGCCCTACATATGTGTATGTTGAAGCTCCTGAGACATACAAAAGCCATAGAAACCATAGAGTGAAATCACAGGAACTTTGTCCACATTTATGGTAAAATTTTGATCTGAAGTTTTTATAGAATCAAGATCTAAAGAGGAGTTACCACTCTGCTTTAGTTCTGCTTTAGTGAAACATCTGTATGAGACCTAAATCGGAGTTTAAATTGATAAGAATAGTGGAGACCGTGAGAGGATAGAAATGTCAATGAGTGAGTGTGTGCATGCATATACTCTGTGTTGCCCCTGCATAAATCAGCATGTCATTCAGGGCACCCGTGTAAAATAAAAAGTCTGAACACGCCCCTGGTCACTGGACGTCATACAGAATATACATTAAAAAACATCCTCACCATCCAATATCAGCTTAATGGATATAAGAGTGTGGTTCTGTGTATCCTCCCTGAGTTCCGTGAACATCCTTACATTAATGCTTAAGGACTCATGATGGGAAATGTTTGATGAAGTTATTCCCATCTCTTACACTTCCTCCTCGTAATGATTAGCCTGAAGGTATACAAGTTTATCAATTTGTAACCAGCCACTCATGACGTCCTCACTCGGGACTAACATGAGAACAAATATAAACCAGTGTCTTTCTTACTTTCTCCCCCTTCCTCCCCCCCAGCCTTTTTCCATTTCCTCTTTCTCTCTCTTTCTGTCTCTGTTTCTCTCTTCCTCTATTCATCACCTCTCCGCTCCCAGCCTCCGCACACCGGCTTTTTGGTACATCAGCGTCCTAACCTTCCTGACCTTGCTGACTGAGCCTCTGAGAGAGTCCAGCTGGTTGTGATCGGCGGGCAATCTGTGGTGGGAAGCTGTCCTCCTCTCTTTGTCTCTGTGTCGCTCTCTCCTCCTGTCACACTCTAAACTGCATATTTCCCTTACAAAAAAAAACACCCCATAATAACAGGTGAAAAATTACAGTGAAGCAGGAATACTTGACACCGAATTATCTGAATAGCACCTCCATAGTATTTTTCTCATTGATTCTTGCTGATGCTTTTTACCGCCCATGTAGCTCTTGCAGGTTTTTCCACTGCAAATGAAACCACTATGGTCCTTCTAACTCTTTGTAACGAGGTGGTTTGGTAATTCAACACAAAACTGCACAGGAAATCTCAATCTGTTCTTTAATTTAAACTTTAATAGGGCCCCATAGAGAGCTAGAGATTAATACAGAGTTAAGGAGCGCAGTTAACGGTTGAACACATAATACTAAAGCACAGCTAGAGTAATCTCATGGTAATTTAAATCAACAGGGGGTCGACGTTGTATAATGTCTTGGTTGTATTTTTTTATTTTAAAGGGCTAACGAGCACCTTGTAACAGTGGAAAGGCTTGACTCGCTTTTATAGGCAGAAAACTCAAGCAGAACAGGACATAGAGGTGGACAACCATCCGCCACAAGAGGATGTAAGTGTGCAGGAAAAAAGAGGCTAACTGGAAAAACAACAAGGAAACCTTTACTTGTATCTCGTACATGCAATTTATACGTGTACATGCATTTTAAAAATCTCGTACATGTGTTTTATATGAATCTCGTACATACGATTTATACGTGTACATGCGTTTTATACATATACATGCATTTAATACGTATCTCGTACATGCGTTTTATACATGTACATGTGATTTATACGTGTAGATGTGTTTTATACGCATACATATGTTTTATATGTATCTCTTACATGGTTTTTATATGTGTACATGCGTTTTATAGGTGTACATGCATCTTATACATGTACATGCATTTCATATGTGTATATGCATATATACGTATCTCGTACATGCATTTTAGATGTTTATATGCGTTTTATACGTGTTCATGTTTTATATGAATCTCATACGTGAGTTTTATAACATGCGTTTTTTTACATGTACATGTGATTTATACGTGTTCATGTGTTTTTTTTTTTATCTTGCATATGCGTTTTTGTAAATAATCCTCTGTGCGCCTCATTTGTGAGAGTAGAAGGACAGTGTCATGGACGAAGAGCATATCATCAACATTTTCTTTCATTTAGGTATGACTTACAATGAGATACTTTCTAGCTTTGCCACATCTGGTATTTTTTTGAGTAGGAAACACCTCATCAGGATCCTTAAAGCACCTGCGATATAATACAACGCACATGCCAGATACTAAATCTCACGTGCGAATCTTAAAAAAAAAAGTTCATGTCACCTCCTGGACTCTGTAGAAAATTGTGCAAAAACAACTAATTGAATATCCTGAGCTATCTGGCTCAGGTCTTGTTACATATATACGAGTGTCAGTGTCTAAGAGTGTGAAAGTGAGGATGTACCTGTATGAGAGTGTCTGTGAGAGTGTCTGTGGGTGTGCTCAACTCTCTAATTGCAGGATGGCCATCACCTGCAGCTGCTGCAATAAAGGACAGTCTGAGGTTCTGCAGTGGAGCAGCAGCAGCAGTAGCGGTCTGATAGTGTGATTCCAACAGTGATTGAAACATGATTTCTCCTCGTGTTATAGCGTTTGGTGTCTCTTTATTTCTCCCTTAGTTTATATCGAGTTAAGCCTCGTTGCTGAGTTTTGTGTCTGTCGTCTGTTTTTGATTAGCCATCCTGTTTTTAAGAGGATAGTTAGTTCTGTGAGGATTGTTTTGGGTTGTTTTGTGGTAGAGCTGTCCTGAGTTTCCTTATTAAAATACTTGAGTTATTGTCTCCATTTTTCCGTCCTAACCTGTTTTTTAATTGCTGTTTTTGTTAGTCCTGAATATATGTTGACCATAAGTCCTCTTTTGCCCAGACATGTCCTCTTTTTTGGGGGCTGTCCGGCCTTGTCCGGGGGAGTTAGTAAAATCCTTCAATGAACAGGGTTTTGTATGGAAGTTTTTGAGTTTGTATCGCGAGGACTAACTGAGTTAGAAGCACATTAAAAACACTCAACCGGACCCGAAAAACTCTTGAAATTTGCTACTCGTGACTCTGTGACTTCGCCCTCACGTAGTTGTGTCCTCTTTTTTGAGATTCAGAATATGGTCACCCTACTGAATACCCCCTAGCCCATCAGGACGCAGCATCCATCTCCATACCATCATGGAGGCTGGCTTTTGACCTGTCCATGATTTCCAAAAATCCATGTCAAATCCATTTTGACTTGAAGCCACAGGACAGCTTTGTGCTTCACTCCAGTCTTGGTCACTGAGATGTTGCTGGCATGTCTGGATCATGTTCAAAGTTTCCTCTTTAGTTTTTAACCTAAAGTCATCATGTCTGTTTTCTGCTCTGAAATGTTTTAATGATATCATATACTATAGATGGTGTAACCCAAATAGGAACATTATTGCTCATGCAGTCTCTCATAATGGTGAACTATTTTAACTTAAGTTATACTCCTTCTCTCTGGAGTGTCCTTTTTTATAAACTCGTACTCAAATGACTCTCATTAGTTGTAAAACGCTCCTCCACATTATACAAGATTTTCAACTTTTTAAAAAAATTGTTGTTGACACTAAATTCAGAATGAGTCAAACAACTTTAACTAAATTCAGCTGTTGATATTTTGCCTTTGCAGGATTTTTGGTTAAAGTCAGAGCTTAAGGTGTTTGAAAACTGTCAAATTCTCTTTTTATTCACATTTTGCACATCTTCTTAACTCTTTTGATATCAAAAGCTTTTTCATTTGGATTAAAACAGCATTTGTATTGGAGTTTACACACCTTTTCATGCTGTCACACATCTTACTGTCATCCAAAGAGGCATGACAAAGTCTAAAGTCTGCTAAAAGACTCTGGTCACTTCAGCTCTGTCAGTGTTTATTTTTATGGGTAGCTCTCCAACGGTGTTCACGGTACTTTCTCTCTCTCTCTCTCTCTCTCTTTCTCTCTCTCTCTCGCTTTCTGTCTCTCTACCCCTCTCTACTCGTCGCTTCCCTTCATCACCACCAGGGGCTTTCCACACCGCGCTGTGCGCCGAGAGCTGCTTGGCCGTCCCTCTCCCTCCCCGCGCTTCTCTGAACGGAGACTCCAGACGCGCAGCGCGGCGGCAGACAGGGCGCACGGAGCGTCTGTCCCTCTCGTTCCTTATCTCACAGGGGATCGTACATCTTTCATCCCGGGAGCAGCGACAAGTTGAACTGCCACCACCGCATCCGTCTGCAACTTGTCAAGACGAAGGCGTTGATCACCGCCATCCGATTCTCCTAAGGTAGGACTTTGAGGGGGTGTTGTAATTTGGGGATGAGAAAGTTGAGAGCACCGTGGCTCGCTCTTGTAACATACAACTCCACTTGGACTCGCATGATGCCTTTC